GATGCTAAGAGCGTCCCGTTTTCATCTTTCTAAAAGCCCTTACGGGAATGTCCACCAGCCACGAAGTAGCGGGCACTCGGCTCCAGGGACACTGTCACCTCCAGGGGGTGGGAGGAGGCACGATCTCAAAAGCAGCGCCCTGGCCACGCTACTGTCCATCACAACACCTACAATGGCCACTCCCTCGGAAGTCATGTAACGTGAATCTGGTAACCCACGCACTGATTTCGGTCGGGCCGACATCACACGCCTCGCGGGGCAGCTACTGCGCTACACCTTCCAGCGCCACGCGCACTGCGAGACCATCGACCAGACCTTATGGCCGTCATGTGCCCGCTATGAGCACGTGCGCGCGGCGGTATCGTCGGCGGGCGGAGTTACACGCCGCCAACCGGCCGGCGCAGCGGCCGCAAATAGGCCGCGCCGGTCGATACGGTCGTCACGCGGGCGTCACGTGACGGGTCAGGCGGCGGCCGCGCCGGCTGCGGAGCCGCGCTGGGAGTGCAGACGAGCAGCCGGGGCGGTCAACCCCCCCCCCCCCCCCTCCTCCCCCCCGTCCCCTGAGAGCGGCCGGGCCGGCTCCCGTTCCTAGCGCGCGGCCGGGCCAGCTCTCGTCCCCCGCGAGCGGCTGGGGCCTGTCTAGTCCGCCGCGAGCGGCTGGGCCAGCTCTCTTCCCCAGAGAGCGGCTGGGGCCCGTCTCGTCCGCCGCGAGCGGCTGGGCCAGCTCTCTCCCCAGAGAGCGGCTGGGGCCTGTCTAGTTCGCCGCGAGCGGCTGGGCCAGCTCTCTTCCCCAGAGAGCGGCTGGGGCCCGTCTCGTCCGCCGCGAGCGGCCGACGGTCGGCTCGGAAGGTCAGGGGTGAGGGCGGTGTTTTCCGAGTCCGTCCGATACGCGACGTGCGGTAGCGGCTGCGCCGCCGAGATATCGGCTTTGCACAGCCCACATGAGCGCCCGGCGTCGGAGCGGCGGAATGTTCGGGACGCTGTGCCATGCCGATCAATGCCGCCGGCTGGCAGCTGCGCCGCCAGTCCCGCGGAGCCCGGGCCACCTGGCCGTCGCCGCCTGCGTCACACCACCCCGGGATTCCCCGGCCGATGGCTTCCAAACTGGCGCCTTCCCCGAACCAGGCGGCGCTCCTTACCGAGCCGCCCGGAGCAAGCTCCACCCACCGAGGCCCGCGTGACGTCACGTTCCACGAACCGCAACCTGGACCGGCTCGTTCCGGAAAGAGCCGGCTCGCCTCCACTGCCGTGCCACTACGCAGCAGCGGAGCGGGACAGGCATGGAATGCCAAGCATGGGGGCGGAGAGGCAGTATAGCCGAAAACCGCCGTAACCCCGGCCTAAAACGAACAGCAGCGGGAAGGGCGGCAGCGTCGCGCAATATCAGCGCACAGTGCGGCATCACTGATTACACATTTGGAGCATGGGTGCGATTCTATAAAATTGGTGGGTGACGGCTAAGAGTGACTGCAGTGGCGGAATGGTGCTGGCAATTTTGAGCCTGAAACTTAGCGATGGGACAAAACCACACGGCATTTTTCAACGGGACCACTGTGAAAGTCCCTGGCTGCAAAATCCGCAACATGGCTGTCGCAGATTTTATGCGATGTGTTTTGTAATGCCGCACACTTAACTGTTTAAATGATAAATAATAACCTATATTATACAAGATTGCATTTGTGGCTAAGAAACCGTACCTTATGGACAGATGTGCGTTATGGATAGATCAGCGGATAGATCAGCATCACCCAAGTCATCATACTTCAGTGCCTACACCGGCGTGCTTTCAAGGTCACTCATGTCCAGCATATAACACGCAGGAACATAGTGACATGCGACGTGACCAGTGGTGGCAGGAAAGGCGATAACAGAGAGCAGGTGGTGAAAAATAGCACAAAACTGGGTTGGAGGTACTGACCCAATGGTACTTGGAGGTACTAGCTTAACCTAAAGCCGCATGGGTTTGTATGTTATCTGACGCTTCGCGCCGTTGTCATGCAGAATAGTCTTATGCGCAACAAAACCTTGTTTTTAGTTTACAGTGACTCCTAACCCCTATGCTCCTCTTTGTTGTGTCCTCTCAGAGCACGACAGATAACTTTCTGCGTCTTCTTCCTGAGCCCTGTTCTCTCTCTCTCTGTACAGTCTTCGTCACCGCCGCCTGGTCTTTTTTATGTCCAGGTCAGCCAGTCGCCATATCAGGTTTGAACGGGATTTCGGGAACAGAGAAGTTTTGTTCTGACAATTGTACGGTCCGACAGGCATGAAGCACAAACTTTCCTCCACGCCAGTGGCTGCTTTCCTATCGTTCGTTTGCGATCACCGCCAGTGAACAGCCAAACGGGAATCAATCAGCAATAGCCTGACGGGAATCAATCAGCTGATGATTACTGAGCGCTGACGTGATGTTTCGAAAACCTGTGGCCAAGCTCATAAAGACTCAGATACTTTATACGTACATGAAACATCATTCAAGTGTCATACAAGGTATCATATAAGGTGCTTAAGCCTCCACCCTAATTCACCCTAACATCATTCACGCACATTACGACGGATGCAGACCTAATTGAAGAAATAGGCTGCGTGTACATGCACAAAAAATGTTTGAGTGTGGGTTGGCGCTGTAGGTGGTGATGACAATTTTTAAAATAACAAAAATTTCCTAATTCCAACTTGAAAATTGCACGGTCAGTGGTAAAAAACTTTGGAATGTTTTAGACGGCCGATATTATTATGTCGTTGGGATTGATTGAATGGATGGAAAGAAATTGGGATCTTTTGAACAAACTGATCTTTTGGACAATGCCTGGAGAGTTGTTGTAAGCTGGTCCATCCTTGGACTTTTGATTCGACTTAAGATACGAACTTCCAGACAACGGCACCTCTGGTTGATGCCCAGTGCCAATAAGCTGGTGTAGTGGTGCTAAAGGAGTGTTCCACATTTGTATGCGGTTATGAACCGAAAGAGTCATCTTGAACATCATTCGGTGCAGTTCTGCCCTTCTTAGGACCTAAACCCCTCTGCATTCTGGGCTACACATCCGCCAATTTGTGCCGACTTTTTCAGGGAGACTATTTTAAGGCCATCCAAGCATCCATGACGTCACAATAACGTCATTCAAACCCTGCCACTCATTGGTCATGTGGCGACCAAGGCCAAGAAAATATAATCCGCCGATTGGCTCTCAATAAATGTTGTGCAAGGTACCACGTTGGGTCGTATCTTGCGTCGTGCAAGGTACGACGCAAGGTACATCAGATGACGCACAAGGTACAAGGTACATCAAAGGTACAAGGCACATCAAATGACGTTATGGTGGCGTTATCAATGACTGGGTGGCGTACTTATTAAACAGAGAAATTGCGTCGTTAACAGTAGTCTTCCATTTAGAGGGATGCAAAATTATAAGTGAGCCTATTTCATTACATTTCATGCTTGCTTCAATATATTCAAATGGGTAGCATTCGCTTGAAGTCGGTGGCTGGTTTGTGTCCAGGTGAAATATATTAATAATTTATATTAATTTTCAGTATGATATGCAGCTTTCAAATGAAACTTCACTATCAATGAATGCACATAAATGTACATGTAGGCATGGATGTCAACTCAAAGACATCAAGATGCTCCACTAAATACAGGCGGTTTCCCCTAACTGAACGAAACATTGTTGTATAGCACCAACGGCTATGCAGAAATGTACCTAACTACGTCATGGTGCCTCTGTGGTGCGTAGCAGGACGTTTTAAGTAGGTGACAAACAGCAGACCGGGTATTTAAATCAAAGTACATGTGTAAAGTTGGTTCATGGGTCTATGCAGGTTTTAAGGAAAATTGTTTCACAGAGGGAAAAAATCGTAATTCGCCCTTTACAATTTTGTCATGCTGGGCGGTGCAAGCTTTCAGCACGTGAAATAGGGATAGCTAGGGGAGAATTTCTGATACTGTTAGACACCCTTCTGGCATTACGGACCATCCATGAGGGTGTTTGGTGTTTAGACAAGATGGGGGTAGGAGCAAGGGCCTTCAGGCATAAGAAACAGCTTCCATGCTAGTTATGACACTCCTCAAGTTCACCTCCACTTCATTCGTTAAATCAAGCACCGGCACTTAGCCAAAAGTCCGCGGTCGTCGAAGTGCATAATATATATATATATATATATTATATATATATATATATATATATATTATATATATATATAATATATATATATATAATATCACAAGACAAGAGTAATATCCAGGCTTCAGAGCTGTGTTTTGATATGCGGGAACTGATACATTCCATAACCAACCGAGTTAAGGAGCTCGATGGCGAAAACGCGTCGACTTCACAGGCACTGGCGCCTCGCCACCAAACGAGTGCTCCGTGCGGACGCCGGCGGAGCACTTTGATCCCGATTCTGAGGAAACGATTCCGACTCCGACCCGCAGCACACGGGATGGATTCCGATTCTGACACAACAGAACACACACATCTTGAGCAGACTCCGACCGACGGAAGACAAATAGCTCAATCTGGCACTGATTTCATTCGGAACAATTCCGTTCACACACTGAACGCCTATTTCATCAACCGGACGCACCTTCCGCTATCATGCGATAATATGTGCCATGGTATCATCATATGTTACTATATCTTGCTACTGTCATTAGATCTGCCTCCATTCGCCGATTCAACATCGTCTGCGGGGAAGCGAATATTCCGATGAGCCGATTACTCTAGACAGCGAGAACGCGGTTGATCCCGCAGTCCGCTCAGACTCCACCCAAAACCCGCCACACGTGTAACGCGGCGCACGTGCAGCAGCAGCTCTGGCGGCCACCGGAGCCCAGCGCCGCGGCCGGTTCCGCGTCCGGGCGGCCGCCGCTGAGGACGGCGCGGCGGCCCGGCCGGCCAGGCCAGGCGCGGGGACGGCTCCGCTGAAACTGGGCCGACCGGTCCCGGGCCGGGCGCGGCGCCGGCTCACCTTGACGCGGCGGCCGCCGCAGAGCGAGCGGCGCCCGCGGCTGCAGGCGGCCGCGCCGGCCCGGCGCCCATAGAATGGGCTACACATGGCATGTGCACGGACGCCCGGCGCTGGGCTCCGGCGGGACCGCCCGCTTCGGGGCGACCAGCTGACCAGCGACGGTCAGCTGGCCGCCCATGATTTCCGCCCGCATCTGGAGGCTCTCACTCGGGGCGCGGGGCACACCATCACCACACCACCACAGGCGAGTTTCGCACGCCTTGAAGACGACGATCGAAGGCATACGGCCGCTGCCGTCGGGGGTTTCGGCCGGGTTCCGGGGGCGGGCGCCAGCGTGTCACGTTCACCGGCGCGGCCCCGACAGTGTTTTATACGGACCGCGAGCGGCGCGGCCCGGCTCAAACAGTGCCAACGGACGGGTGAGCGGAGATACACACACACACGTCAGCAGGCGGGAGTTCCTCGACCGAGACCGTGACGCCCAGCGTCTGACCTGCGAGACGTGGCCGCGCCGCCGTCATCGGGCGACCACGCCAACCAGGGCTGGGGCGGCCCAGCCGCCAACGATCGAGATAGGAGAGCGCGTCTGTTCTCGTCCATCCGAGACCGCCGGCAAGTTTTAATCGGAGGTTCAGGCCAACAAGAACTGGGCCGGGCAACCAACTGGCGGCATTGGTCACCTTCTGCTCGTACTAGGCCGACCGTCCGACCACAAGAACGCCGCGACGACCGAAACGCGCCAACCTACGGCACGAAAACGTGCGCTTTCATGCACGAGAGCCCCTCTCCACCCCGGTCACGTGCGCCACTTCCGACGAGGGTTCTCCAGCCCGGCGCTGTGGTCACGTGGCCACGCCAGCCACCCCAGGCTCCAAGGTCACCTCTGACGTCACGTCCCATGCGTCACCTTGGGAGAGGTCGCGTCGTGCGGCCGGGGAGGGGGCCGCGAGAGCGCGGCGCCTGTGCTCCAATCGACGGCAGCATCCGCCGGCTAAGCAGGGCGCTGCTCTGACCATTACCCGGTTTACATGGGCAGCCGAGGATAATTCGAATTAAGATCGGAACGGATCATGCGACGTTAACCCTCTCGGCGAGGGGCGTTTACATGGGCGAAACCGGCTTTACGTCGGATTAACGGTCGATAGTTCGATCCCGCTTAGTTCGAATCAAGGAACGGATTATGGGCGAAAACTGCGCTTTTGAGGCGAACTGAACAAAACAAGAAGAAAAAAGCAGGTACTCTGCGTATGGATGGCGAATGTCACGAGCCATGGTGGGCGCGAGACAGCTTTGAGGGCGAGGAGGAAGATGGACTCCGTTGGAAAAATGATATGTGCGGGACTCATAGGCTTTATAGCTACAGCACAAGCCATAACACTTGAAACACAAGAGTTGCACAGTCAGCACTGCCAAATCTGTCACATAAGCAGTGTTATATGCAAATTTTTACTAGCGGGAAACTTTGGCTAGCAGGAAATCAGTATTTTCTTGTACTGGCCAATGACACTCAAAAACTTACCACACTCATATCAGTGTGCCACCCAGCATCATGTCATCTACTTTGTGCAGCCCAAGAAACACATTACCTACTCCCACACTAATGCATTCATGAGCAGCCTGCAACAGTGAGCTAAGCTACAGAAATGACTCATGAATGCTACATAGTTAGTGGCAAAAATTGTGTAACTATGTTGTCTTTCCCCATCCAATGCATCATCAGTACCTGAGGGCAGCATTGCCATTTAGACTTGGCATGGACTGGCAAGTCAGAATGCAGCTATTTGCTTTCTTGACATAATAGGGTTGAAATACTGCTTTGATATCCTTGCAGTCAACAGCATTGGCTGATATGGACTGACGGCTAGGTGGCACAAACAGCTGTGTTCGCACAGTCCAAAGATCATAACATGTGAACCAGCCCCAGAGCTGTCATGACAAAAGCAATCTGGGCTCAAAATTCATAACAAATGATTAATTATAACAACAGCTCAATTATCCAGCTCATGGTTTGCAAAGATACATGTCACAAAAAATCACCAAGGTAACATATTTACTCACCAGTACAAAAACAGGTAATGATGTGCACCACAGATGTTCTCTGCACATCATGTGGCATTATGTTAGGTTTACTTAGTTTATGCACTGTTTTCTTCCACATGAAATGCACAAACCTGGATTTGACAGAGTACTGATGACAGCTATTTTCGTCCAGTGCTCACATTTGCTTTCTTGACATTTTGGAACCATCACTGGGCAATTTTGGTCCCATCATTAAAAATAGTTCACATTCTGCACTGACTGCAATGATCTATTGCCTATATTTGTTGATCCTTTGCATCATGCAGGAATTATTGAGTTACCTATCTCACACACATTAAACCGACAAGCAACAAACAGCCTAATCGCATCAAAAACAAATATTCCAGCCCCCGCTTCCTTGCCAGTTGGTCTACCAGTGTGACGTAACTTCATATTTCCTTGACGAGCCAGTCACCAATATCCAGCGCATCCCTCCTGCCAATAGGTGGTCAACCAAATGTTCAAGTCACAGGAGGAATGTCTGCAAAATCAATCCTGGGGCATTTATGTATTCACTTATTGAAAGAAACTATTGGTACTCCCTGCAAGAAATGTTGAACAGTTGAAGTACCTACCTCATGGCCTGCAAAGACACCCATCACAAAAAAGCACCAAGGTGACATATTTAATCACCAGTACAAAAACAGGTGATGATATGCAACACAGATGTGTTCTCCATGCAGCATGTGCCATCATGTTAGGTGTTAGTTTATGCACTGTTTTCCTGCACATGGAACACACAAACTTGGATTTAGCAGAGTAATGATGACAACTATTTTCATCCAGTGTTCACATTTGCTTTCTTGCTGTTCTGACCCCGTCATTGGGCAATTTCGGTCCTACCAATACAAAAGTTCGCATTCCGAGCTGACTGCAATGATCTATATTTGTTTATCTGTCATATCATGCAGCAATTTTTAAGCTACCTTTCTCACACAAATTTAACTGACAAGCAACCAGCATCCTAATTTAAGGAACATCTGCAAAAACACTCCTGGGGCCTTTAGGTATTAACTTAATGAAAGAAACTTGGAGGCGTTCTCTGCAAGAACTTTGAGCAATCCAAAAATTAAAGTGAGAACAAGTCAAAGCTATATAAAATGACCATATTACCTCCATCTGGCTTTTGGAAGCATGGAGCCTGCCCCAGATGTAAATTAATCTAACCTTTAGGCGGAAAGATAACACCAAACACCGCCGACGCCTGCTGTCTGCATAGATCACGCGCCTAGCAAGGCTAAATTACGTGAGCATTTCTGTGCTGCTAGCCTACAAGGCCCTCAATAATAAGAGTAGTTTTAGCAGCATGGTGTCAACTTCACCTTCTTTCTCTTTTCCTTTACCATCTTGGACTTGGACCGTCTCGAGCAATAGCTAAAAACCCGTGGAAAAGCGGCAACACCAAACAAAGCTGAAATGGCCATGAACAGAACTGCGTGCGCCAGGCATTTTTCTTTTTTTTTTGTTTAGACAGCTGACGGCCGATAATTCGGACGAAATCCCTTCCTGAACGGATGATCCTCTCACGGGAAGGGATTTCCTCCGGCGCACGATTCGAATCAGCGGAACGGCGCGTGAGTGTATACATGGGCCGGATAGTTCGGATCGAGGACGGGTCCCGGCTCAATTCGAATCACAGCTGCCCATGTAAACAGGGTACATGTCACCGGAGACCGTGGAGTTGGCTTGGCCTGCGTGGAAATGGCCGGCGTTTAAGGAAAAATGGTCTTGCCTGCAGGACTTTCTCAATCAGTTCAAAGAGCGACCCAAACCAGCAATCGCTTGTAGTACAGTCGAAGTGCTCACCGGTACCGTACAAAGCCAACTATCGGTAAATACTTATCATACATTTTCGACTCCATAAAGCTTGGTCGCAGCTGTGCGTACCACTAACGCCACTGGGCAATCGTGGCGTTGGAGGTGCGTCAGAGGATACGCGCTGGTTAGATAGCGACCACAACCTCAGATGGCTGGCGCCAATAACCTCAAAAGAACTACCAGAACTCTTCCTGCGTCGACAAAAACATCCACGACGACAGCCTAACTGCATTAGAGCTGAGATCAATGACTCGGCGCTTCTACCCCCCCCCCCCCCCCCCCGCCCGCAAGAAGGCCCGGCACGCAGTCAGCGGACGGTGGCCGGTCCCGTCATCGGTCGCGGGATGACGCGTCGGCCGCGTGCAGCTCCAGCTGCGGACCCCACCCCGCCGTGCCTCGTCAGCCGCCCCGCGCCGCTGCAGCCCTCGTGCGCCCAAACGCCGGCGTGACGCCAAGGTCGCCCAGCCCGCGCTTGTTCGTGTCCAGGGGCACGCAGCTTCCCCAACGCGACTCAAAGCCAGGCGATCCCCCGATCCCAGTCTTGAGCGGGGTTTGCACACGGAGGAAGAACAATGGAAGGATGCATGTTCGTCTACGTCTACACTTTTGGTGTCGGCTCCTGACAATGTAACGCTGTCGCGAAAGGCACTGCCACACAGCTGGTGTAAAATAATGGTTCCAGCCTTTCACAGGGCTGACGTTAAACACAAAAGTTCGCCGAATATACTATTGCATGAGAGAGCAGACCTGGCAAAAAAACATACTAAGATTAACAGTAGGATTCCCTTTCCTATGCAGATACCATTAAAAACTTGCTTATAGAGTAACCACTTGGTCGTTTTAGAAGAACAGAGTTATCGACTATTTCGCCATGCTCAATTGCTTCGCCTTGGCATCATGTTTCAGCCCATATCACATATCTACACATCCAGTGGAAGGCGCCGAGCAGTGGCGGCCCCCGGCTCCCAGCGGCGGCCGCCGGGTGCAGGTGGGCGGCCGGCGGCGTGCCATCCGCCCTCTCCTGCCGGCCGGCCGCTGCACGGGCGCATTCCCGGCCGGCCGCACCGCCCGTGCAGCCGCCAGCTACCGGTGCCGGCACAAGCCGGATGTGGTGCGGTACACCGGGGGTATCCCCCGTGGCGCCAGAGAGCGGGCCGTCACGGCGACGCATTGGATGGCGTATCCGTCACCGTTGCTAACGAGCCGATTTGAATGGAGCACTGACATAACATGACCAGCATGGGCGCACAGATCAGGCTCCAGCTGCCGGTCACACCACGAACTACCCTGAGCTATGTCCAGATTACATCCTTGAGCCACTTGATGTCTCCTGATGTGATTATTCTCTAGGTTGAGCGCACCTGGACGGGCTGATGATCAGAATAATTTGCAACGAGTGAAGCGCTCAGCAGCCTTGCAAACGCCATCCTGTAGAAGTCTGACGGGTTCGAGCGTGTTACCATTCCAAATGGCGTCCGTCCGCCGGGCCCACGTGCTGATCGTCATATCGCGGGATCACGGCTTGAATTGACCAGCAGACCCAGCAGACCCCAGAGCCCAGCTGTTATCCTGACGCTGTCCAGACGGCAGCGCGTGGTCTGTACCTGCACTGGAAGCAGCCGGCACCCCAGCATCCAACGAAAGGCGTCTCCTGGACATCGTATCCGTGCCAACCGCCAGTCATGCGTGGCAAGAACAGTGCACGTCCCGGATATCAAAACGGCCTCCGCAATGCCGCATGTTTTGGTCGGACACGGATGAGGTACGCGATCCATTCTCTCCCCCCCCCCCCTCCCCTTCCCGTCCCAAATGACCAGCAATGGCTAGCAATGACCGAGGAGGTAAGGCCAGCCAGGCCATCAGATCGCCCATCTGCTCGGGCCGATAATACCACCGGGGCGGTGACATGCTCCCTGCCGATCAATCAGCCCGGCAGCCGATCGCTCGCCCCCCCGACGGGGCCGCGAGCCCGTCAGCGCGGGGGCCGAGGCGCGGCGCGGCGGCCGGGCGCCGCTGCACCCACCCGGGCGTCGCTTGCCTCCCCGACGTGGCCACGTGCCCGTCAGCGGAGCGACCGAGGCGTGTCGCGGCGGCCGCACCGCGCTGCAGCAGCAGCGGCCGGGCGCCGCTGCACCGGCCGGAGGCGGCACCTGACCCGGAAGTGGGACGGCTTTCTACAGGCCGCGCGGTGGACACCGGCCGGCGCGGCGGCGTCGCGCCAGCTCGTCCCCGGCCCGTTTGGCGGCGAGCCCGGTCAGACGGCCGCGAGATGCCCTGTACCGGGGCGTCGCTCGCTGCCGAGCGCTCGCCTGCCTCCGCCCCCAACGGAGCCAGGGATGAAGATGCAAGTCACCGTGCGATGCGATCGAATGTTCTTCCACAGCATGCCTTTTACCGGGCTGTTGGGTCCGTCGAGAATGTGACTGGACATGTAACGGAAGAGTCGACGTCCTTTCTGTCTTCGGCGCTGCTCGAATGTCAACCAAGGCAGGCGCGTCCCGCCAGTCCAGACCCATATGTACAATGAACATAACTGGCATTCGTTACGGCCTAATGTGGCGCCACGTAACAACAACAACGGAATATGCCGGCGAAAACGGCAAGGCCGTATCTTAAATAATATCCGAACCACGGGCCAGAGCGAGGGGCAACACAGTTCTCCACTCCCTGAGGGCTGTGCCGACAGTCCCAGTTTCGGTTGCAGCCGGCTGAACAGCCAGGTGGAACGTTCCCGAGTCAGCGGCGGGCGGCGGGTGGCGGGCGGCGGGCGGTGTGCGGCGGCACCGCTGCCGTGCGCGCACGCTGCCTCGGCACCCACCTGACTCCCTGCAGTACAGCAGGCGCTAACCCCTCCAGCGGACGGCCTCCGCACCCCTGCCGGGCCCGGGTGACACACGCGGCAGCAGCTGGCTGCGCTGACACACCGGAACACCGTAGCGGCAGCGGCGCGAGGACGCGGCACGCTTCCGTCCCCCTCACCCGGCGCGGTCCAAAACACTGCCGGCGCCGGTGGAGTAAGCGGGCGCCATCGACTGGGAGGTGTGGCCGCCGCTCGGCCAATCCGCGCCCGCCAATTGCGTGTCGTCATCGTGACGCTGTGTTGTTATCGGGAGCGCGTTCATTCGGAGAAAGACTCCGCGGTGGCCACACGGTCCTCTCCCAGATTTCGACCGACATTGACTCTTAGATCTATTTGTTGAAATGAATCTAGCTGTACAGATTTGAACTTGATGAGGACAAAACAGTGACCGAGCTGTTGCGATGTTTTTTTATTGACAAGTCATGCTGCGATTCCGGCAGACATTCCGGCCTGGTTCTCAATATTTCTCTCCAGACGCCAGTGCTTGGTTTTGGAACCAGAAGGAATCCAGAAACCAGCCTAGAAATAAGCCGAGGGAACCAGCAGGAACCAGGATCCAGCCCCATATTGAGTTGAAAGATCCAGCCAAAGCCAAGACTCAGCCTAACAAGCCGAAAGATCCAGCAAAGGCCACAATTCAGTCTGACACCAAGTGAAGGGAACCGGTGAGAACCAAGATACAGCCAGGCATTATGTCGAAAGATTCAGCCACCACCAACATCCCGCCTGACAAAATGTTAAAGGATTCAGCAAGAACCAGTATCAAAATGCCTTATCTGGACTAATGTCGAAGTAAGCAGCAAAAACCAGAACCTCACCTCAGACGATGGTCAACCTTGATTTTCTAGGTTCAGAAACGGGGACACAGGGTTCTCAGGGACAGAAACGGGTTCTCAGGGACACAGCCTTTCAAAACAGTTCAGGACGGTGAGCAGGGAAAATCAGGCTAAAAAAGAAAGCAGGCTAATCCAATCTCCCATCATTTTTTCACAGAACTGGGAGGGCTCAGGCCCCCTAACGATATGAAAGTGCACCCTTGGTGTTTTTTCAAGTTGATGGTTGGATAAGTTTGACGGAGCCCTGCCACAATGGCATCTTGCAAACATCAGCCATACTTTGGAACATGGAACATGTCCACCTAATTTTTCTGCATGTATGTAATCTTGTATCTACGGTTTCAACACCCAATTTTGGCACTTGCGACATAAGCTTACCCCAAGGTTGTTCACTGGGACGTCTGCAGACATGGAATATTGCTGCTCCACCACAATAACCTCGGATTTACTGAAAACATCATTTCTTTGCAACACAGCGGGTCTGGACCCAGCAAGTCCTATCTTCTCGCTAACTGTCACGAAAACTCCTTTCCAACCCATCAAGCCGTCAGCAGCTACAAACAAACGTGGCCGCAGGCCTTCACAGCACAATCTTGGCAACAAGACTGAAAGCATGCACTGCGACACATAAAATACGCCAGTATTTCACGCAACTTTCATTAACTGATCTATCGCACCATGTACGGTTTCTCGGCCAAGGTAAAAGGAGATGAGTGGCGTCAAACCCAGGGAGGTAGCGAAAAACTGACACATCGCGTGGATATGCTTGTTCTCCGGAACCGCCCATCCGATCGCTTTTACACCTTCTTCAATCGATTCGATGTCATGTAATGCGTATGGGGTGGCAATGTCGTGAGCCGACCCAAGGTTAAAAATCAGAAACGAGGAGAGAAAAATTAAACGAAGAGTGACACCATTTGGCTCTGCTATTATCTGATTTCTGACCTATAGCTCATCAACCTCATCTGTCATTCGGCCCTGATTTCTGACGCAGTCAGGTGTCTATCTCTAAACTGCGGATATGGCCACATCTCGTTTCGAAATCAACAGAAAGAGCACCAGTTGATAAGAACTTACGAGTCTGAAAGCCCGAAAGACATTCACGCAAAATAGACAGATCACACAAAGCTATTCACATTTTGCTGACGTCAAACGGTCTTTTCAGTATGGCAGTTGGGATCTATTTCTGCTGTTTCTTTTCAGTCAACGCATAGTCAGCATTGGTCCCTGAGTCAACACTAGCCCTGAACTGAAAGAACCAACATTTAATTTTTAAAGTCACGGGTATTAGCCCTTCCTGGCTCCCTAATTCGCCACATACTTGTCAGACGGAAAATGCAAGGTTTTACGACACAAAACCTTTCTATTACTAACTTTTTCTATAAATTGTGTTCTATTCTTGTTTTAACTTGTTCTAACTGTTCTAATATGTTCTAAGTTGTGTTCTATTAACTTGAAATTTAGAGGATGATTGCCGAATCCAAATGTGGTTGAATAGTGCCACCATTTACAATATGCACCCCTTCCATTCTAGAAGTCAAGAGCGCGTGGTTTCAGCTGTCCGGTACCTTCTTTGCTGCAAATGTTATGCAATGATCGTCAACCAGCAGTCAGCTGCATCACTCGTAATGGTGGTATCACGATATGATGACTGCTTGACACGCTTGTTGTGTGTAACCTAGCTGATTTTTTAGATCAGAAATATGTGGGTCACCCAGGCGATAACTTCAGCTCGTTCTAATACGTCAATGTC